CACTTATCCCTTAAGTGTACAAGGCTCAGAACTCTCAAACAGTCTCCAAATTGTGCTAAATGATATCAGGAATGAGTTTGACTTTCAATGAAGTGTTAGACTGAACTGGATGGAAAATTTCGGGTTGTCACAGGCATCAACTCGTCGAGTCTCTCTTCTTAACTCAAAAGAAAAATACTTAAATTATGATACCTGGAAATCCGGATGTTACATTTTGTTTTTTTATTTCATAGATTTCTTTATCAACAAATGTTGCTACAGTTAAACAAAAATAAATAATTTGCTAAAACATAATACAATAGGAAGTTTGTTCGCATTTAGCAATTGAACTTTTTAGAGGGAAACAAACTTTCGATTTTGTTCACATTTAATCACTAAACTTTTTTTGTTATCTATTTGCCATTGAACTATTGATACTGTTCAAATTTTACCCTTATGACCGGTAACAGTCGGTCACAAGGGTAAAATGTGAACAGTTTCAATAGTTCAATGACAAATAGATAACGAAAAAAAATTTAATGACTAAATGTGAACAAAGTTGAAAGTTCGTTACCCTTTCAAATCATTATCCCATTAAACAATAGTAAATTCAAAACTTTAAACGATAATATAAGTATATAATGGGAGTCTAACAAGTTTGGATTGATGTAGCCGTGTTTGACAAACTAGCTATTAGTTAAAAATTGAAAGTTGTAATTTTTATTTATAAAGAAGTGTCTGTCGAAATTAGTTAATTTTTAGAGTAAATTACACGAATGGTCCCTATGGTTTAGAGTAAATTACACGAATGGTCCCTATGGTCCCTATGGTTTTAGAGTAAATTAACTCGGAAGGTCCCTACTATTTGTTTTTGTTACGCGCTTGGTCCCTGTCTTACATAAAAAGTCTATTTTTCCCTTTATTTTTTAGTTTATTTAAATAAACACACCCCTAATCTCACCCTTCTCACTTTACCTTACGTACCACATCATTTTTTCTTATTTAAATAATAGTCTTTTTAGGTATAACAGAGACCAAGCGCCTAACAAAAACAAACAATATGGACCAAACACGTAATAAAAACAATCAGTAAGGACCTTCCGAGTTAAAAAAATAAGTTGGGGACCAAACGTGCAAATTACCCCAAACCATAGGGACCATTCATGTAATTTACTCTAATTTTTAATTATGTTAAAGTTGGGTAAAAGACTAAACTTCCATAAGCTTCATTTAACATCAATATTTTATGGAAAAATAATAAAATTTATAAAAACCATAGTTATGTGGGAGAGCTTATAATTTTTTTTTTGTGTTTTTTTATAAAAAAATGCCTAACCTATAATTTTGGCCTTACGAAATTGAACACCCCACTATGAGATGGCCAAAATGGTTTATTAGCGTCTACCATGAAAGTTGGTTTTCTTTCAAATTTTCTTATATTTTACAGAAAACTACAAATTTAATCTATGCGTATGTCGGTTTTTTTTAAGTTTTGGTCCATATGATTTTAAAATTGCAAATTTCATCATTTTCATTAGTTTCGTTGTAGTCTCTTCCCTAATTGAAATGATTAACTTTCTCTCTTGGTATTTTTTTTATACTTTCTTATTTAGTTTAAAGTTTTATAAAATACAAAATGATAGAACCCAGATTGTTGAACGAAAGATTCAATGAAGACAAGTTTAGTTGCTTCAACAATCTCAAAATATGCCATGAAAAGATGTTACTATAAAGATCAAGATCCCTAATACCTCTCAAATCTTTCATCATGGTAGCTAACAAACCTTGAAAGGAATTGACTTGTAGTTCAAGGTACTCTAGGCTAGTGTTAGTGTAGCTTCCATTCGCATCTGGTATTGCTCAATCAAATCATGATAGACAAAGCTTCATTAAGCTTTTGAGCTTTCCAAAATCTTGTGGAATCAATCCAGTTAAATGATTTTGAGCACCATTCGGCCAAAATACATTTGATTTTTTTGGGTTTGATTTATGTGCATAAATGGAAATTAGAACTTGTTGCTTGGATCTATGAATCAAAAATCAAAATCAAAAACTGATCATCGATTTCTCCAACCATTTGCATTTTTATTTGAGTAAATTACACGAATGGTCCCTATGGTTTGGGGTAATTTGCACGTTTGGTCCCTAACTTATTTTTTTAACTTGGAAGGTCCCTACGGTTTGTTTTTGTTACATGTTTGGTCCCTACAGTTTGTTTTTGTTACGCACTTGGTCCCTATCTTACCTAAAACGATTATTATTTAAATAAGAAAAAATGATGGGTGGGTAAGGTAAGGTGAGTGGGGTGGGGTTGGGGGTGTGTTTACTTAAATAAATTAAAATATCAAGGGAAATATAGTATATTTAGGTAAAACAGAGACCAAGCGCGTAACAAAAACAAACAGTAGGGAAATTCCGAGTTAAAAAAATAAGTTAGGAACCAAACACGCAAATTACCCTAAACCATAGGGACCATTCGTGTAATTTACTCTTTTTATTTTCATCCTCCAATTTGGATTCATCATTATTGTCGAACATATCCCAAGAAACCTTTGCTAAATGCTAAGTTCATCCTTAATGTTACAAAATAGGTTCATGTTATTTTTCTGGATAGACCAAGGTTGAGTTGGACCATTGTCGTTAACTAATGGAATTCTCTTAAAAGATGGTTGTTGGCCATGTGTCATGTCATAGTATTGGCAACGTCCAAGCACATAAACGGCGTCGTAGCGAATGTTAAAAAGACTAGTACAAAAGACAAGACCACGAGTACCACGTGGTCACATCTCATTGATCACTCCCCTTCACCAGAGAAGACACCATCAACGACAACCAAACCAACGGTGTTGATACAACTCACAAGGGAGCTTCTCTTCTCGCGCCTAAAATTTACGAAATTTTCTCCCTTAATCGGTAAGTTCTCAATTTCCGTTCCACAATTTCATTTGTATGTAGTTAAACCCTCGTAATTTCTACATTCATAGGGATTCATTTCATGAAAGAACTGCGAATCTTGCTGTTTTGTTGAGAAACGTTGTTATGATTTTGTATTTTTAGGGTTTTCGTACTGGAATGGCGGAAGGTCCGTCGAGTCCAGGCGAGAGTGGGGATCTGAGCCCGAGGTCGTCGAACGTGCGGGAACAGGACAGGTTCTTACCGATTGCGAATATCAGTCGGATCATGAAGAAGGGTTTACCGGCTAACGGGAAGACTGCTAAGGATGCTAAAGAAACTGTTCAGGAATGTGTTTCTGAGTTCATCAGCTTTATCACTAGCGAGTAAGTATATCAATTTGTAAATTGTAATTAAACTTTTTGTCTGTGTTGATTTCAGTTTCATGAACTCCAAAGTGTTTAATTTCTTCTATATAATGGCTGTTTAATGTTTAGGGCAAGTGACAAGTGTCTAAAGGAAAAGAGGAAAACCATTAATGGTGATGATCTGTTATGGGCAATGGCCACACTAGGGTTTGAAGATTACATTGAGCCACTCAAGGCATACCTAATTAGATACAGAGAGGTAATGTTTTGTTTCTTTACAAGTTGTTTGGAGATTTGATGTAAAGTAATTATTACTAATCAGTTGATGTTTGCACATGTTTCCTTTCTTGATTGGATTGTTGTGGCAGATTGAGGTTAGTTGTTTGATATTCACATAAAGTAACATTGATTCATATGATGATTTGATTGATTTGAAATGAATCCTGTTGAAGGGTGACACCAAGGGATCTGGTAGAAAAGAAGGGGTGCAGCTGCAACCTGAGCATGATGAAGGTTTTTATTCACAGGGTCTGAGTTATGGTGACTCACAGGTATTTCATCTCTTTCTTTCTTTCATTCACTCTCTCTCCTTAAGCATCAAAACTCACAAAGAAGAGATTAAGGATATGTTCAACAATGAGGTTTTGAGAATTTTAGAAGCTTTTAGCTTTTAACTTTAAAATCTTGGATTAAATAAAAAGGTAAACTCATCATCCAATATTTCATTTACACCTCTTAAAACCTTACAACTACGGTTGACAAACACTTCTTCACAAATAAAAGCTTCAGCTTCCAGCTACTACCTTGGTTACATTGCATTGAATTCACTAAGCTTTTGGATGAAATTGGAAGCTAACTTAAATTTGTTGACTGAAATTTGGCAGCAACAGGGTCATCTCTTGATGGTCCCAATGCAAGGGACAGAGTAGTAGTAGTAATATATATATATATATATATATATATATATATATATATATATATATATATATATATAGGTGTTTCCAAAGTTAGGCTTCTTAGTATTTGTTATATCAAGTTAAAAAGACTTGAAATTTAGGACTTGTATTTGGATATGGGAAAAGAGGAATTTTAAATCCAATCTTTGGATTTTGTAATAAATGTCATATTTTATTAGAATTAATTTACATGAAATTGAATTTTAAAAAAGGCAAATTTTGAGGAGAAAACAACTAAATGTAAGCCTTGTGCCATTGATGAAAGACAAAAACTCTTTTATTTGTCACATCATTTTTGTAGTAGGGAAAATGACTTATAAATGTAAGCCTAGTGCCATTGATGAAAGATGTGCATTGTGGACTTGTACAGTGTACACCGAAGGTTTCATATGAAGCCTATGTTTCAATATATATATATTTTTTTTCGTTTTTTTTTTAAGTTATCTCCATGTACAAAAGCTACTTCTAATCAAGAATACGGTAAAATTTTGATAAAAAATAGACGTACCTTATTGTTCTTCGAGTGTTTCATTGAGAGAAAACAGTAGACAAACTGATGAAAAAATGATAAAAAATAACCTAATCTGAAAATTAATACATTATATATTATGGGCTAATGGGTAACGAAAGAGTAGATTAGCCGAAAAATAGTAGTCCATTGCCCTAAAATAATAACATTCGGTCAAAGTTTGAACTTTACTCAAAATCCTATGGCAAAAGTTTGTTTAGGAGCTTGTAAATTACAAGATTTTGCCATGAGATTTTTCAATGGATCTTAAGTGTTTTCAACAATCAATATAAACAAAAAAATAATAAAAACAAAATTAATTTATCTTGCAAATTGTTAATCAAATAATTATTATATAAATAAATATTTTTTTTAAAAAATTTTCAGATTTTTTATAATAGTAAAAAATAGAGAATTAAAAATCTAGCCTAATATTTTATTGAATTTTAAAAATATAGCTAAAAAATTAAGGTTTTTTTTTCGACCACGTATAGTAAAAAAATCCAGATTTTAAGTGTATTTCTATTTTTGGATTTGTATAATACAAGTCTTATATGTACAAAACCACAAGTACAACCCAAGAGTTCATGGCATCTAAGTGCTATTTCTTCACAACTAAATGTGATTTCTTCGGAAAAAACACATCTCGATTTTTATGGCTAATAACTAATATAAACATATCCTAAATGTATAAAAACACAATTATAACATAAATTAACTAAATAAATTACAAAGTTTTCTAATAAATATTAATCTTGAGCCATTGTAGCGAGATAACAGTTTGAAATGTTGAAATAGATGAGTTTAATAACTTGCAATTGCATTCCGAAAAATATTAAATTTTTTTAGCAATTTTATTAAAAATCATTAAAAAATTTTGTTAGATCTATTATAATAAATAAAGGTTTTTTATCACATGTCATCTTTTTATTCATTTAGACAAATGATATTTCTAAAATTTTTAAATTTTCTATTTTCCACTTATCATTTTATTGTATTTTTTATTTTATTAAATTAAAGTTCCACATTTAATATATAAGGTAATATATATGTAAGGTATTTATTAGAAAAGAATTTATATATGTAATGTATTCAATACATTAAAGCCTTATTAATTTTAATAATTCAAAAAAAATCGTTTTTCTTATAAATTTAAAATTTTCAAATTGTTCAAATTAATGTTTTTTAAATAAATCCATGTAACCTAGTTTGTAATATTCTCAAAAACAAATATTCATTTGGAAATGCTCTTACAAAAATCGATGTAAATAATAGTAGAAACTAGAAAGTGACTAGAAACACAAGAGTAGCACAGTGGCAGAAACACACCAAACACCAACGGTGTTGATAGTTGATACTACTTGCAACGAACCTTCTCGCGCCCAAATTTACGAATTTTTCTCCCTCGATCGGTAAGTCATCAATTTCACTCCAAATTGACGAAATTTTCTCTTTGTAATCTGTGCCTTTATACAAGGGATTAATTTGATTTTGATGAGAAAGTTGTATTTTAGCCTAGGGTTTTGGGTCTGGAATGGCGGAAGAAGGTCCGTGGAGTTCAGACGAGAGTTGGAGTGGGGGGTCTGAGCCCTCGGTCGCCGTCATCGAACGTTCTGGGGCTGGATCATGACTTGTTCATGCACCCTGCGAGTATCCTTCGGATCATAAGGAAAGGGAAGGTGTTGCCGGATGATGCGAAGATTGCTAAGGATACTATACAGACTTATCAGGAGTGTCTTTCTCTGTTCATCAGCTTTATCACCAGCGAGTACGTATATCATATATCTCTAATCCCTTCTCTTGTTTTCAATTTCACCAACACAAACACAAACAAACAAGTATTCTATGGAAAAATGTTCAGGGCGAGTGACAATTGCAGAAAGGACGAGAGGCGAAGCCTTACTGGTGATGATCTGCTAGAGGCAATGGAGACACTAGGGTTTGAAGATTATGTTAAGCCACTTGAGTCATACCTGGAAAAATACAGAGAGGTAATGTTTCTTTCTTTGGATTTGATCATGTATTTGTGAATATGATATGAATCATATGATGATAACTTCTTACTAATGAGTATGAGTTGATGTTTTTACTTTTTTTTGTTTTTTTTTATTCCTGATTGGATCAAAATCTCAAACCCTGTGGCAGATTGAGGTTAGTAAAGTTTTTTTTGTTCACAGTAAATTAAGTAACATTTTTTTTTTGTTATAAGATGATTGAATTGATTTGTATGAATCCTGTTAAAGGATGAGCTCTTAAGATCTTTAAAAGATCACGATGAATCTGTTAGAAAGGAAGGGGTACAACTGCAGCCTGATCAAGATAACACACAATAAAAGTCAAAATCAAAGTCAAAGTCAAAATCACAGTCACAGGTAGTCTCTCTAATTCTCAAGGTTTTGTTTTTGTTATCCATAACTGTAGAAATATAGATAATATATTTGGTTAAAACTGATTAAGTTTTCATTTTCCATTAAAGAAATAACATTTAACATTTTGGCCAACCTTTTTGGAAAATAGCAAAAACGATCCACCAATTTCGGAACTTATACATCTAGCTTTTTTTTTTTAAAAAGGATTTCGAAATTTGTTTGTTGCAAAATACTTTATGAGTTACAAACTTAGAAGCTTACTTAATATATTTTTTTATTTTTTTACTGAAACTTGGCAGCAGCAAGGCACAGATTAGCAGCTAGCTTTTTGGATGACATTATTTTTAATCTCAAGTGTCTGTGTGTGTGTGTGTTGTTAAGCTATATGTATTTGTTTGTAGAGTATATATAATTATATGTAAATGTAATATGATGAGGTTTTTCATTTTATGTTTTGGCAACTTAAAAAAGCTTGGAATTTAAAGCATGTGTTTGGGTGATTTTAAAGGAATTGGAATTCTTTGGGTCTAACAAAGGTTTTCTGAAAACCTTTGATCAAAGGTATTTTGCTGAATTTTGTTTAGGATTAAATTTCCTATGTTTTTACAACCAATTTAAACCAATAATTCAACGTTTTAATAACATTGTAAGTTGTAACATCCTGTTTTAAGGGCGAATTAATATTTTAGTCAAGTAATAAAAAAAATTAAATAATAGATTCTAAACGGTGTAATAACATTGTTGATAAATAAACAATATGAACTTTGAGTAAAGAAATATTGAAGGAGAGACTAAAACTATCAATTTAGCAAATTAGAAGGATTATCATGGCTTAGTAAAGATTAAATTGTTACGAGTAGGAAATTATGGGGCAAATGAGTGAATAATATAAGTTCCATTAAAATACTAGTTAAATGGTGTTCATTTTAGAAAATACAAAAGTTGAAGGTCTAAAGTGCAAGTAATTAAGTTTGAGTATAGTGTTATCTCCATTATGAAGAGTCACGATCCAAAGAGAAAGGAGGTTGTCATTGACGATTTCTAGACTTTCATGGAGATTTGGAGTAAAGAGATTGAATGAGGAACTAGGGTTTGAAGAGAAGAATTCATCAAAGAGCTTGGAAGGTAAAAACGCTCCATTTTCCTTGCTAAAAACTCGATCTAGGATTTAGGTCTATATCCAAATTTGAAAATTAGATCCTAATATGATGTTAATTGTTGAATATGGTGTTTGTTGTTTCATTTGAACTCCTAAACTCTATGGAATCAAATCATAATTGGTTGTTGTGGATTTTGGTGAGGATTTGGGAGACTTGAAGCTCTATCTATGGTGGAATTTTGAGTAATGTAGCTGGAATGGTTTTGGTAATTAAAAAAACTTGGTTCCACTGATTCAATAGCGAATATCAAGTTATATAATCATAAAAACCATGTGATTCACTAATTAGATTCATTAGTTAAGTATGAGCTTAATATAGGGTGTTAATGACAACTAATGAGATTATGATTATGATTCCAATGTTTGATTCAAGATTAGTTGGAATTATCAAATCATTGAAAAACTAGATCATGTGAACGGGTAGATTAGGAAGAATGAGATGATGAAAATGGATTTGGAATCTAATTTGAAATGAATGATTGTAAACAAGCTTTTGAGTTGCATAAACTTTAGAATCACTTATTACAACCCATGAATCCAATGGAATTTGACATCCCAAAGCTTATTAGGACAATTAAGAAGTATAATAAGATTTTTTACTTGTTTAGAAAGGTCTTTGATGATATTGAAAACCATTAAGAGCTTATCGGTGGATGTGAGTGTTGGATGCCTACATGAGCTTCCATATAGGTCTTGTGAATTAAGTCGTAATTATGAAATTTTGGAAATGCACTTACAAAACTCTATGTAAAATACTGTGGCAGCAACACACCATACAACCAAACCAAGCTAACGGTGTTGATAGTTACATAACTACATAAGGGACCTTCTCGCGCCCAAATTTACGAAAATTTCTCCCTCAATCGGTAAGTCAACCAGTTCACTTCAAATCGACGAAATTTTCTCTTGTAATCTGTGCGATTTTGATGAGAAAGTTGTATTTTGGCCTAGGGTTTGGCGTCTGGAATGGCGGAAGAAGCTCCGTCGAGTCCAGGCGGGAGCGGGAGCCACGAGAAAGGGGGTGCGGGTGGGGATCGGAGCCCTCGGTCGCCGTCGGCGAACGTTCTGGGGCTGGACGAGGACTTGTTCTTGCCGATTGCGAATGTCCGTCGGATCATAAAGAAGGGGAAGGTGTTACCCCGTGATGCGAAGATTGCTAAGGATACTAAACAGACTTATCTCGAGTGTGTTTCTGTGTTCATCAGCTTTATCACCAGCGAGTACGTATATATATATATATATATATATATATATATATATATATCACTTCTCTTGTTTTCATTTTCATCAACACAAACACAAATAATAAGTATATGGAATGTTTAGGGCAAGTGACAAGTGTCGAAAGGACAAGAGGCAAACCCTTAATGGTGATGATCTGATATGGGCAATGAACAGACTAGGGTTTCAAGATTATGTTAATCCACTTAAGGCATACCTTAACAGATACAGACAAGTAACTCAGGTAATGTTTCTTTAGCTTTCATGTATTTAATTCATCACTTCTTCTTACTAATCACTTAATGAGTTGATGTTTCTACTTGTTTCATTTCCATTCCTGATTGGATGTGGCAGATTGAGGTTAGTAAAGTTTTCATCACACATCAATTAATTATCGTGTTTTATTATTATATAAGAATAAGATGATTGAATTGATTTTGTATGAATCCTGTTAAAGGGTGAGTACATAAGATCTATAAAAGATCATGATGTACGATCTGTTAGAAAAGACGCTGCAACCTGATCAAGATAACACAGTTACAATCACACAGGTACACTCTCTAATTTCACTTTTCTTGGAAAAGTGTTCATAAAAAAGAGTAGAGGTTTTTTTTTTCAGTTTCAGTAGAAAATTTGGTTAAAAAAAACAAGTAATTTGTTCATCTAATGATTCAATCTTAAAAATCTTGCCAAAATTGTAATAAGTAAGCTAACTTTTTTGTTTAATGAAACTTGGCAGCTGCAAGGCACAGAATAGCAGCCAGCTTTTTGGATGACATTCTTTTTGTCTCGTTCTCGAGTTTGTTTGTTGTAGAGTATATATAATTTAATTATATGTAATATAATGAGGTTTTTCATTTATACCTTAAGATATTTATAGCATGTGATATCAATGAGAAAACACATGGTTTATAGCAATCTCTAATTTAGTTAAAAACCGGTGATAGTAAGCGAATTGTATTATTTTAAAATTTCAAAGACATGACCAAAATCTAAAGAACAAAACTGAAAACTCAAGAAAATGCTTCTTTTAACTGAATTCTAACAAAAGATTAAAGAAAGATACTAAAAGTGAAGAGCGTTATAAGGTATCTTTGAGTTGAAAAAACAATGATGATAAAGATTTTGTATTTAATGGACGAGAGAAATTTTTGGAAACGTTTAGTGCAAATCAAGGAAAAAAAAACCATTCTTGTGTTTATGGAAAGAGAAATTAAATATTGCTCAACTACTTTTTGTTCCAAAATGACCAATTTCAAACTTGTTAGCCATTTTGAAAAAATGATAAAATGGGGTCATTTTCTTATTTAATTAAGGAGTAAAGTGCATATTTGCATTCTTCTTTGGATTAGGTTCCCACCTTTTTATATTATTTTTTTTTCTTTGCAAAAAAACACTAATATGGCGTAGCTTAGTGTGGTTTTGGTCCCTATTTAAACTAAAATGACTAATTTATAGTGTGGTTTTGATCCCTATTTAAACTAAAATGACTAATTTACCATTTCGATACATTTTATACAATTTTCATTTAATCTAATATTTGTTTGCAATTTACATAGATGCTAAGTGAGACATGATTAAAAAAAAAAGTTGTCTACAAAATATTGCTGCTTATTTTATGGCGAAGCACAATAAAATAACTAATTTACCATTTTAGGTCATTTCCATTTCACCTTGACAATTGACTCCGTGAATAGGACGATGATACCACCTGAAAGACAGAAATATAAAATATCGGATAGGTGCTTATTTTATTGTGTTACACAATTAAATAGTGTTGTTATGTTATCCATTAATCTTATAATAATAATGTACCTGATATGTTTTTGGCCCCTTTTTAGTTACAAACCCAGCAGTGTTTATAATCTCTACAAGCCTGTCAAAATTCTCCTCACTTATCCCAATCTTTTTAGCCAAATTGAATATTTCCTGTAAAACAAATAATAACAATATTATTATTTATAATTTATCCAAACAACACAACACTTTATCCTAAAAAACATATATATATACTTTTTCAGAGAAACAATCTTTCTGTTCTTTCTCTGATTGCTTGTTCAGTGCACTTAACAACCGCTTTGCTTCTTTCTGACAACTCATCCCACCACTCCTACCAAAATCAACAACTCCATGCTCATCAACATACTTATCAAACAACGATTCCTTCATTATTTCAACAACATCCTACACCAAGAATAAACAAATCTTAACATAAAAACCATGTTTTATGTTTATAATTTCATATAAATTTTAAATTTTAAATTGACCAGAGCATCTTCAACGGTTATTTCTTCTCGCAATTCAACCCTAGCGCGAGCTTGCGCCAACCGTACTAAACTTTCTAACTGTCTTGCGGTAATCGGCGTCCCATCAGCAGACGTGTTACGGTCTCTTAGTTTTAAATAAAACTGTTGTAAAATTTTAGCTGCCGGTTTCGACATCCTGATACCACAGTACCAAAAAATGTGTGTATTTTAGTTTCTGAGCGACACAGGGTTGAATCTCAGTAGATCGTGACAGCAAGACCACTCTGCCACTTACAATACCTTGGAAACACATAAGTTCTTGCGTAAGCGATGTATTTACGGAGAAGAGGACTTGGTAACGGAACAAAATCAATGTCCTTTCTTGAATCAAGCCTTAACCTTGAAACAAGCGAACCATTTGTTTCGCCAATACTTTGAGATGCTACTACACTTGTAAGTTTGTTCACAATTTGTGAATGATCACCATTCGCTACATGCAACTACAAGAAAGAACAAAAAGTTAATATAATGTTTTGTTTTGTTTTTTATATGTATAAAGAAATAAAGGGATTGATCGATTGAGTTGACTTACAGACATGATGTGTTCAGAAACTCGTTTGTCATGTAACTCATCGGGTTTATCAAGCAAAATGAAGACCAAATCAAATCGTGACAGCAAAGCGGAATTAATTTTCAAGTTCTCGTTCACTGTTTTCGCACGGCTGTAACCAAAAATAGCAATTAACTTTGAAATTTTCCAAAACACAAAATAAAAATAAAAACTATTTAAAAATATTTGGGTACTTGTAATGTCCACCAACTGGATTTGCTGCTGCTAAAACAGTTGTTTGAGCTGATAAACTTGCTACAAGTCCTGCTTTTGCAACAGATACACATTGTTGCTCCATTGCTTCCAATAAAGCCTGGTGGGTATAAATTTATAATATTATAATAAATAAATAAATAAATAAAACTTTTTTTTTGGGGGTGTTGATATTGAAATTAATAAATAAATAAATAAACTAACTTGGTGTTCTGCTGTCATTTTATCAAATTCATCAATACAACACAATCCCCTGTCTGCAAGTACCATTGCACCTATTGAAAAAAAAAACATATTAGTTAAACATCTGCAAAACATTAAAGAAGAAAGAGAAAGTGAGTTACATTTTTAGTCCCTGAGTATATATGATTCTTTCAATTTTGGTCCCAAAAGTTTTTCTATTGCAATTTTGGTCCTTGTTTCAAGTTAAATGGTTATATACTTTTGGGACCAAATTTGCAAAATCAGTTATACTCAGGGACCAAAAATGAAAAAATCAACTATTCTTAGGGACCAAAACTGTAACTTACTAAGAAAAAAAAAAGACTTACCAGCTTCAAAAGCATAGTCACCAGTCATTGAATCTTTGACCACAGCAACAGTAAGGCCAGCATTTGTTGTGGCATTCCCACAAACATAAATGCCACGTGGTGAAACTGAAGCTGCTGCTTGCAGGAGTTGACTTTTCCCAAGTCCAGGGTCACCTAATATTTCTAAAATTAGACTTTTTCTTTTTCCTTTTTTTTTTTGTATTTATTTTAAAAAACTTCATACCAACAATTATGACATGAATGTCTCCTCTAACAGGAACCTTATTCTGATCCATTGAATTCTTCCTTACACCTCCAAACAATGCCAATGTAATTCCAGCTGTTGAAACAAAATAGATGAAATTACATATTTGGTCCCTGAGTATAGCTGATTATTTCACTTTTGGTCCTTTATGTACCTTTAACAAGTTCATGTCCATAGATGGAGGGGCAAATTGATTGAAGTATTTGACGAAACACATCTGATCCATGCTCTAAAGAAAACTTACAAACAAATTCCAAATCCCTTTGACTAAAAGAATATAAATCCAACAAGTCTGTAGCTTTAGCCACTGATTCTGTTTCTTCAGATTGTGACTTTGAGTTTTTAACTGATACTCCTTCTAGATACAAGTAATATAACCCCTGATTCCTCCCTTTTGATTTTCCTAATTCAATTTCATCCAACAATCAAGATTCAAGAATAAGAAAGAATAATATCATGTGAAGAAAAGTAAATTATTATAGTATTATTACCTCCTCCTATATCCATGTAATTATTAATCACCCTTATAATACCAGTCACAGTGACAACATCTCCAGGGATACACATGTCCACAAGATCTTCAACCAATTCACATTCCACTGTTCTAGGCACACGACCTTCTTCATGATGTTCAGATTTCAACAACTCTTGAATTCTAAAAGAAAAGTTATAAATACATCATGTAGAAAAAACATACAAAGATTCTGAAAAGTAAGAAAAGTAATCTTACCTTATTTTCTGGAAATCTATTGGTATTGCACTAGATCTAATCGGGTTAAAAATTCTGCTTTTGCATCCGTGTGTTCCACAGCTTGAAGGAGGTGAGAATTTTCCATCTGGGAAATCACGTGCAATGGTGTTTCCACATTTGGAACATGTGAAACTCATTTGTATCACTAAAGGCTTCACAGTGCTGACTTTTACTACAGTGCCACGAACAGAAACAAGCCTTTCTGTAACACAATCATGGTGGAGTTTTACTAATTAGGTAAAAGATACATTACAGTGTATATGTGTATGTATAACAATGTTATGAAAATGTTACATACCAATGTAAGCTGCTTTCAGGTTCTTTAAAGCAATCATGGAGTCAGGGTGATTGTGTAGGCGGATGTTTACCTTTGCATGTTCATCCAACTCTTCATCGTTTGATTTGGAGTGAAGCGTCTGCTTTCAATAAAAGTTGGTGATTAGGTTTAGAATCCGTTAATGGCATAAGAAGATGAAAGAAAATTAGAAAATGGTGTTTTTACCGTGTGTACTGCTGCACTCATGCATAGAAGAGCTTCTTTGGGGTTTCTTTCTAAAGCATCGTAGAATTCTTCAAGCATACATACCTTTCGGAAATGTTGGAAATCAAGTGGCAAAATGAACAAGATGTCTTCTTTCTTTACCTAGATGTTGTAAGTAAACTGTATCAGTATCAATTAGAGGTTTTAAGTCCAATTGATGCAACTTCAGATTATTTTGGAGAGGAAATTTCAGTATTTTGGTTATGATTCTGATTATCAAGTTCCAATTATGGCAGAGATCATGTACGCCTAAAAAACTATTCAGAAATTAACCCTGGTTTTGGTCTGCAATTTAACACGAACATTGAAGTTTATGGGATTTAAATCGATGTTGCTGTGAGGTTTTTAACCTCCTCATAAACACTTAAACTTGTCAGTTTAAGTTTGCTCAGGCACTCCTCAATCACCAAAATCAAATCAATGGTAGATTTTCCCGTTTTCGTTCACATTTCGGTATATATATATATATATATATATATATATATATATATATATATATATATATATATATATATATATATATATAGAGAGAGAGAGAGAGAGAGAGAGAAACGGAGACCTGACCTGAGAGATGAAGTCTAATCCGTCAGCAGTGGAGAAAAATTGTTCGTAAAGCGTCTTCGTGAGTTGCATCTTGTTCTTCCCATCAGCATGTTTATAGTCGATTTGAGGGAAATATTTAGCTAAAATTTGTGAGATTTCGCCTCCATTACTAGATATTTGCTTCCCGGAGCTCATCATTGTCATCGTCTCTCT